ATTTTGTCTTATTTTAAACTGCAGTTTAGCAGTTTACGGACATTTTCAGTTTCCATTTTTTTTAGTTTTTTTTTTTATAAATATCAATAAAACTTTATTTGTTGGTTAAAAAAGCTTGAAAATTTAGTAGAAGGCTCCTAGTATATTTTTTAAAAGTCGGATAAAAAAAAATTAAAAATCCAGTCACAATTTTTTTTATAAGTATCTAAAGTTCAAATATTGATAAAATACGTAAAAGTGACGAAAATTTGCAAATTATTTAAGTTATAAATTCATATATCAATTAACATTTTCTTTTTAAATCTAAGATTTGAAAATGTAATACAAGATTCCTCATAAGTTTGTATAACTTATTTTATTAGAGACAAAATACAACAATATATATAATATATACATCATGAAAATTCCACCTGATGTCCAAAAGCTGCAATCTTTAGCACAATTGGCTAGTTTGTATGCGCAGCTTCCAGGTACTCGGTGGGTGAAAATCTTAACATAATTATGTGGGAGTCAGGCGGGATCACCTTATCAGACGTCATTGCAGCATATATTAATCCTCCATTTATTCTCCTGAAATAGTCTTCTCAGGCAGACCACAGACCACCGCCCTAGATATCTCATGCATGACGTAGTCCTGTTCCCGATCCGGCATAGCATAACTGCATAAGCCCACCACTATAGAAAGTTATAATTCCTTTGTCTGTTGGCCACCTCCCTCGCCCTTTCCGCTTCTTCCTTCAGTGTAGTAGGATCTCCACTGATGTTCTGTAAAAGATTCAATAACCTATAATAGTAATGATTTCTATTGTATTTATCAGCTGACGATGACGAGTTTGTGGCAGCCTCTAATCATAAGGCTGACAGATATTTCATAATGGAATGGACGTATACGGCGGTGTTCTACACGTTTTCGTGTTTTGTTTTTTACCATCTGATCTACACAGAAAACATATTGAAACCGTACTTGGATGACCTGACCTTGGACAATATCAACTATGTGCTGATGACGTCGCTGTCCGTCCTCATCGTTTTGTTAAATCCGTTGTTGGCGAGCAGAGCACGTGAGAAGCGAGAAGAATATTTCAAACTCTGGCGAGAATATCAGGTTTATATACTTTATAACAATTACATATTATATACACCATAAATCATGATTCATATCCCATATATCTACTTGTGCAGGCCTTCCTTCTTACCTGCAATAGGAAAACTACGACCACATTTTATAAGAAACTAAAAATTACAACTAATTACAACTAATTACAACTAAATTATGTATAATTATAACAAGCTATAAAATGTATATTTTATAAAAATCATGTCCATCAATGGATGCGTAGATGGAAATAGCGGGAGGGACATGCTAAGCCTCACTAGCTATTGACAATTTTACAGGATAGCACTAAAAAAATACCTATAAGTAGTTATTAAAGCAAAGAGCAATTAGGTTATCAAATTTTAAAACGCAAAGTAATATAGATCAGGAATAGGTCGCTTTGCATGAAGAATTTCAGGTGAACTTTACATATTGATAACATCAAACATAATATTATAAAAATAATATTATGTTATATACTTAATACTTATATATTATACGTATTGTCAAATGGGTTTGTTCACCTTCACATAATATTTATACTATATTATAATAATTTCTAGTTTATTTCACAGATTCAGTATGAACAGTACACTGTTGCGGAATTGGACCTAGGTTCCTCGATACTTATCATTTTGCTCATCGTTGTCGGTGTGATCGCAACAACGCTTGAGTTAGTCGCAAATTGCACCTTAACATCGCAAGTACAGCCCACTTACGTGTACGCTAATTGGCTAATTTATTTTTATACAAACCTTACGACCATCCAGTGGGTCACGGACTGCCATTTGTTGACCATAGCCTCAGAGATGTTGCTCGATCAATTGTTAGTAAGTACTAGTATAAGTAGGCAGTAACGGAGCTAACTTAAGGCTGCAGCATCGTAGTCCTTTTTAAAGCATCCACCACCTTTGACGGCCCTTCGACGAATATAATATATATAATATATTATATCTTATATATTTCCATATTCACTTGTTTACTCCCACTTTATACGAGATGACTTATCAGTCCTAAAATATATTCATATATAATATTACACGAAGGAACGGGCAGTGATTTTAAATGCTTAGGTATACCTACCTAATACCAATATTTAAAATATAGGCTGTAGAAAGTATTTATATTAAAAACTACTTGAATCGTTTTCCAAACAAGTACATTTTTTCTCAGACTAATTTGTATTTTCTTTGTTTATAATTAGTTTCAGTCTTCACACTATATACTGTCCGAATTATTAATATGTCCAATGTAGGTATTCCATATCTATTTTTGTTTAAAAGTAAAAGTTTATGTATTATAATTGCATACAATACCAAAGTATATTATAATATATTTTCTTAAAAGCTGTATAGGTACTGTTATTTCACTTAAAATGATATACCTAATAATAATAATATTATATGATTCTTGAGATAAAACTATACTTCAACAGTATGCAATTTTTATTTTTTGATTAAAATCTAAAGAGGTTCCTAATATAAATTATTTTGTATTATGATTTTAAAGAGGCTTCATATTATAATGGACGAATTTCAGCTATTTTGAAAATATAATTTTTGTACTATGCATTTGAAATACAGCGGTAAGTGATCAAGTGGAAGTATTTTTTGTCCGCAATACCTGATTATAATATACTCAGGAAGATTCATTATAATATTAAGTTGAAACAATAACTTAGTGAGACTGCAATTTATATTTCCATACACCCCAAGCCCTATTGATTAAATCAAAATTTTTGACTTCGGTGCCACTGATTGATTTAGGTACAGACGGTCACTGTGGCCACGTCTAACAGAGTCGACGGCGGCGGCAAAGGAGTCGAATCGCGCGTGTCCTGTTTTGTCGAACTTTGGCGAAAACTTTCAGACATGTCCAGCGGGCTGATGGACACCGGTGGTGGTCTGTATGAATTCAATTTCTTCGTTCAGTCGGTGATCGTCGTGCAAGCTCTATACGGTATCGTCGCCCTGTACATCGGTCGGCATCACTCAATCGTACACTACTACGTATACTTCCCAACCACCGCATGGTCGATTTTAAATCTGGTCGTTCTGTGCGAGGCTGCGTATTCGGTCACCAATCAAGTGGGTGCACCCACGACCACGGCTTTAGACAGCTATCTAAAGCCGTGCCCACGACCCACCTCCCACGATAATACGATATGATAATATATGGTACACCGCGCGTTTAAATAAAGACTTAGCCACCGTTTTTCAGAGCGCTTGTAATGGAGAAAAACGTCTTAGGATGACTTACCATATTATTAAGTATAAACATGCACTTATTTTAAAAAATAACACTTTCGCAATTCGCGTATAAATTATAATATCACAGTCAAAGTGTAAGTAGGTGTAGGTACATTTTAGGTATATTTTCAATTAAAATTAATGGACTTAGTACCTATGTGTACTTTAGAGGTTATAATCGAAATTCCCCGCATATAATTATCAAATCAATAGGGAAAAAACCAACAAAAAATACAGAACAACTTGTTTTCTACAAAATCGATTTTTCTTTCTTTGTAATTCAAAAACAAAGACTAGAAGCGACTTGAAATTTCCAACAGATGTTGTTATATATGCATTTTCAAGACATGGTGAAATTTAACACATCCATTACAGTGCCAAGCCTTAATGATGAGATGATGAGTCAGATGAGATGCATTTGACGTCTCGTCGTCTTGACATCTTCTATTCAGCAAAATGGTTACTTACCCACTACTTACTATTCTGCTTTTTTTATTAGGTACTCAAATCTCTTTTTTTTACAAGTGCATAGTGAAATTTTCTGTTTTTAAATTGACCATTTTTTGGCGATACAATATCTAGCATAGTAACATGTGTATAATTATTAAACTCACTGTACAATTTAATTTAAAAATGGCCACAGATTCAGATGACATATTAGCTATATTTCTATAAAACTATAGTTATACACCAGCTTATACTAGTTAGCAGTAGTGTATCCAGAATTTTTTTCGGGAGGGGTTACAATTTATTTTTGTCAAATTTTATCTGAAAATGATTTATTAATGATAACGTTGTTATAATTTAAAAATTTTCGATGGGGGGAGGGGGTACAACCCCCCTCCCACCCCATGGATACGCCACTACTAGTTAGTTGTATCATGAATTTATCTATTAGATAATATTTAATACTTGAGGCTATAGAGAAAAAATTAGTTTGATTCGTTTTTCTATGTAGTTCCAAAACTAAGCCACTTATGTGTTACTGTGAAAAAGTGTAGCCAAGTAGGTATATTATTTTCATTTTTTTTTAAATGTCATTAAAATTGCCTATATCAAACTCCTTAAATAACAAGTGTGTACTGTGAAATTAACTTACTTATAGTACCTATAGGCAGTAGGCACACAGGGAGTACAGCTTAGTAAGATTGCAAGAATACTGTATAATATAGAAAATAGGTATATTATCTATAATATTGTATGTCCTCTAAAAGTATAAATATAATATATGATTAATGTGAATTACTATAGGTGGGATTCAAAACCAATATAGCAATACAGTCGATGGCTTGCAATAAATTCAGTTTAGAAACTCAAGAGCAGGTAATCAGTAATGACAAACATAAGTGATTTAATAATGATTTCTTTGAATTAACTTCAATATAGAATATTAATAATACCTAAACTACTTATATTAGATTTTTGCTGCTTTGAAAACTATCCAATCTCACACACCTGTAATAACTGTAAGTGGTTACTTCACCATGGATCGAACATACATACTGAGTGTAAGCAAAGAACTTAATAAAATAATTTAATAAAAAATTATCATATAAGTATAATAAAATAAATACATTGATTTTGACAGTATCTCGGAGTAGCTGTATCGTATATCATTGTTCTGGCACAATTTAAAATTGGTACTTCTTAATTGATTACATCCGGAAAATTCCATACTTGGTTTGCTGTACTGGTGAATTTTGGATGGCAGACAAGCTCATCGCCAACACTTGCCTTGTCTGAGCAGGATCGATGATGCCATCATCCCAACACCTGTTGATATTTTGCATGAAAAAATTACATAATCATAATTTTCATTCAAATTTAAAATTTTTGACTTGAATTGTAATTTTACTTACCTCGCACTAGAATAAAAAGGATTTCCTTCGTTCTCAAATTGTCTGATCACCGGATCTTTTAAAATTTTTTCTTCTTCTTTTGTTATCTATAAAAATAATAACAATCAATAAATCATATTATTAAAACTCCAACGATGATGATTTGGTTTTACCAGTTTTCCTTCTCTAATCTTTTTGTCACTTTGAATTTGGGCAAGAACACCTGCAGCTTGTTCTCCTCCCATTATGCTTATTCGAGAATTAGGCCACATATACATAAATCTTGGTCTACGTATGAAGCATAATATAAAAATATTTATTTAATGTCAACCAAATAAATGTTTTCTAACTAATCATTACAATTAAAAACCTAATATTTTTGTATTACCTACCCGTATGCTCGTCCACACATTCCATAATTTCCAGCTCCATAAGATCCACCAATCACTACAGTAATTTTAGGAACAGATGCACAGGACACCGCTGTAACCATTTTAGCGCCGTTTTTAGCAATACCACCGGCTTCCGCATCTTTTCCAACCATAAAACCTGATAAATCATTTAAAATTGTCAATAAACATATTGATTTTAGTAATAATTAAGTTGTACATAATACATATTTTAAAGTACCTATTATTTAACATACCAGTAATGTTTTGCAAAAATAGCAATGGAATATTTCGTTGACAACATAATTCAATGAAATGTGTACCCTGTAGAGAAATTTAATTTTGAATTAATATTATTATTTAAAAGAATCTATTAATTATGATACAAGTGCATACTTGAAGGGTGTTCACAAAGGAATCTTTCCCCTCCCCCCAAATTTAAAATAATATAGTTTGTATTAAATAGGTAGTTAGGTATGTAAAATAAAAAAATTTACCCCCTCACTTCTAACCACAACAACAATGAACACTGGACACTGGTCAAATATGCTATCTTGTTATGATATATTAAAAACTGAACATAATTTTCATACCTTTAACGCAGACTCAGAAAATAACACCCCATTGTTACCAATTATGCCAATAGGGTAACCACATAGTTTAGCAAATCCAGTTACCAATGTTTCTCCATAATTTTTTTTAAATTCAGAAAATACAGACCCATCTACTATTCTTGAAATAACCTAAAAAAAATAAATAATTATAGGATCATTGAAAAAAAATTATGAACAAAATTATAATTATAAATATTATTTATTACCTCTCTGACATCATAGTTCTTTTTTAAATTGTCTCCAACAATTCCGTATAATTCTTCATCAGGATATAACGGTGGCTCAGGCACATCAAAATTATTTTTTATATCTTGTTTATTGTTATTATTATTTAAATTTGCAATAATTGTTTTGGTAATATGAAGTGCATGATAATCATCATTAGCGTAGTGATCAGAAACTCCAGAAACACTAATATGGAACAATTTTTAACCGAATATTTATAAAGAAACTATATAATATTTTATAAAGAAAACTATATAAGTATTAAAAATGACCTATAATTTAGGATTGATTCAATGATGTATTAGTGAATTACTATATTATTTATACTTTATAGACATCTACTATAAAAAAATGTCAAATAATCCAGTTTATTGATCAATCTCTAAAACCACTACAACAATATTTTATGTACTGTGTGTGTACTTGGAGTTACATTATCATATTATAAATTTTGTTTATATATAATATTCTTACGAGCAGTGAAGTTTGGCACCACCCAGATCTTCTGAAGACACGATTTCGCCAGTTGCAGCTTTCACTAAAGGAGGACCAGCAAGAAAAATTGTTCCAGTCTTTTTGACAATTACGCTTTCATCGGCCATGGCAGGTAAATAAGCAGCGCCTGCAGTACAACTTCCCATCACTACGGCTATCTGAAATATTCTTGTGATTATAAAAATCTAATATAATTCTAAAATTTAAATATCTAACTTGTGTTATATTTTTTGAAGACATGATGGCTTCATTAAAAAATATTCTTCCAAAATGTTCTCTATCAGGAAAAAGTTCAGCCTGTTTTTTTAAGTAACCACCACCAGAGTCCACCAAATAAATGCAAGGTAAATTATTTTCACTGGCTATTTCCTGGGCTCTTAAATGTTTTTTTACTGTGATAGGAAAATAAGATCCACCTTTAACTGTAGCGTCGTTGGCAATGATCATGCATTCTTTTCTATCAACAATGGATTTATTAATGATGAATTAAATAACTTAATATTTAAAAAAATTTGTACTTGGATATACGGCCAATTCCCGTAACTATTCCACCGCATCGAACAGTTTCTTTATAAAGATCATGTCCAGCCAATTGTGACAATTCTAAAAATGGTGAACCTGAATCCAAAAGATAATCTATACGATCACGTACTAGTAGTTTTCCTTTGGACGTGTGCCTTAACTTATCTTTTGAATCGCCACCAGAAACTGAATTGGTTACAGCCTTTTTCAAATTGTGCACCAAAATTTCCATTGCTGTTCGATTTTCCTACAATCAAGAACCAAAATTAAAATTGCTAATCAAACGTATGCTGCAATTGGAAATGTAGGAGCCCTGAATATAATATAAAACTACATGATTAAGGTTTTTGAAATTAAGCCAACTATAAGTAATAACTAATACTTCATACCAATTAATACCATAATATAACTCTTAAGGATCAAGTATGACTAGACATAGTTCTCGTAACTTGTTTGCTCTTTAACTATTATGGTAAGGACAAAAATCGTTAATCTATGAATATAATGTTAACCTGATATTCTTTTGAATTAACATCAATGTTGGTTTCCAGTACAGATCCATTTGAGAAATGTGATGAACATTGATAACTACGGAAGATGACATATCTCCTAAGTATTTTAGTACTGCTCAACATTTTTATTGAAATACTTTTGTAATTTATTTTTTATGAAATCTTTAAATCTGTAACAGTTTGTAAATTATTATAAAATATAGATATTTTATTTTATAGATAATACTATTATTAATTATTAGCTCAACAGATACCTATAAAAAATATGCAAAACCTTTTCCCAACAGCACATACTTAACGACTACACATTGTTGCCTGTTTATAACAGGATTTAATCAATAAAAACCTTGACGTTTTAAATCGAACAAAGTACACACATAAGATAAGATAAAAAGTTTAGAGTTCAATAGACCACCAACAAAATACTGTATAAGTACTGTAGGTACATAAACAATAATATAATTTAAAATATTTACTTATAATATAAATAACACATGAAAAGAATAAAATGTTTAGTTAGTACTATAATTTTATAGGCAGTACATTTATATACTCAACCTAGAGGAAAATTATTAGTTCTAATAACCATATTATAGTACATATGTCATATTATATACCTGATGTTAAAATGTCCTCGTTTTGACTCACATTACTAAACTATATAATAAATTAAATACCAAACTTGAAACTATATTATTTAAATTAATTTGATTTTAATTCCAATATAAGCAATTCTTTGCAGCGACAAAAAAAATGCACAGTAAAACTATAAAATTGGTCTAGCCTTTACTGTGAAGCTCTTTTCTATGACTTCAACACAACAGAACCTCCTGAATATTGGTTTTCTCCTCTAAAGAAGTGAATTATGTGCTTAGCGGTCTTGGTTCAGTGTAACAAATTGTTTGAGCAATTTTAAATGATTACTTATAAACAATTTTAAGAATTAAATTATTTTAAATTTCTAAGACATGTGAATCTGAAATTATAAAAAAAATGTTGCAACTATACCAACAGTAAAGCCGTAAAGGTGTTATTTATAATGACTGTAATATTAAATGGGCAGACAATAATTGGAGTTAATGAAGGTATTTCCAAAAGATTTGTATGTCAAACTCATATTGTTATGGTGTTTATGTCCAATGCTAGAAAAATATAATTTCAATGAAATTATTTATATATGTGTTATAATATATTGTACTTATTTGTAGTTCTGAAATGTCAGTAACTATTTATACTTATTTTAGCTGATATAATATTCATTTTTTTAATGTTTAAAACATTTTGTTTTTCAACGCTTTTTAAGACAACAGTTGTTAAGAATAATTGTATTAATTTATATTAATATAATAAATTAAGTATAATTTTTAACCAACAATTAGGTTAATATTTAGCTTTTAAATACGATATACCTACCTAGTATACAGTGGTTAAATTGGGGAGAGAAGGGTACTTAGTCTCCCTATTTCTGAAAGTGGTTAAAAAGCGTCCCTTTTAACAAATTAGTATTGACATTATTCAGGGTTAAAAGTGGGATGAGTGCTTATACAATCACTGTTTATACATTACATATACCTACATTAGGCATTACCCATAAAATTATATTATATGGAACGCTTAAAACTATAAGGAGACAGAAGTCCACCCTGGAATTTGTTCCCACTTTAAGCCCTGCTAGTATATAAGTGTTAATAAACAATTAATATAAATTAATAGTACATTAGGCATCATAATGTTTAATATTATCTTACCAACTATTCCTACGAATCTATGTAAGTCAAATACTAAATCAATGTTCAATACAAATTACAATATACAACACATCACAGGCATGGATCGTGTCGACGCACAAAATACCGAATACTGAAACTACATTTATAATGAATAAGTACCATGAACTATATAAAAATGTATATGTATATAGTTATAGCATTGACTATAGAATACATTTATTCTTAATTTGTATTTATAATTTTGTACACTAAATTATTTTACATAATATCAACTATCAAGTATTATTATTTATTTTGTACTCTATATTTTAACACTATAGCCTATAGGAGTTTCATAAGTCATAATAATAAAAAAATAGATATTATTGACAAATTACAATATTTCTGATTAATAATTTGATTTGACTTTAGAATTTAGATGTTTAAATATTTTGAAATTAAATTACTGATATGCTATCACAGTTGTACCATTGTTCTGTGGTTGTACATTATCATTTATCAATACATTGTATTGTCAGAATTTCGATTTTGGCGCGGAATATTATATTATCTTTATGTGACTCCCAACTCCAATAGTTACTAGGTATTCATTAATTTATATTTCTATAAAGTACCTATATAATCTTGAATATTATAATTTATATTGTGATTGTTTAGTATTCGAAAATCTGTATTGTATTCAGTTAATGATTTGAATTAAATAGCTCATTGAAAAATAATTGAAGGTTAGAAGACAATGTAAGTACCAATTTAAATTTAAACGAAAACATACATATTTTAAGACGATTGTATTAGTATCTAAGCAATATTAATTGTTTTATGATTAAACCCACAGTCATCATAGGTTTCATTTTAAACTCATACAATATGAATTAAAAATTAAATGAACTTACACAACTACATGAATTTTCAAATTATTATTTCATATAAAAGTATTTTAAGTATTGATCAGTGTAGTATTATATTGTATGTAGGTCCTGAAATTTGTATTAAGTAACGGTAAGTCTACTTTGAACTGTTATGACTTATGACATAACAATATAATAAAAGTAGTAATGGTATTTGCTAATATTTAATATTTTAATCGTGATACGTGATTGTGTCTATACAATATTTTGACGGCTGCATTTTCTTTCCCAACTTCTTGTCTTCATATAACTGATAACAAACTTCGCTTATCAATCAGATATCATTTTTTATATTCAAAAAAACAATGTCAGTTTGATTCTATGCACTGTTATCTACTGTAACCGTGATTCTATGTTACTATGTTTAACCTTTTAATTTTCGCATTATAAATTTGTGTCTTTGAACGAAATTTCATCTAAAAATATTGATCAAAGGACAAAGTTTTAATCAACGATGGTAGCACTCGGCGCTTTTCCGGCCGCCAAGCTTGGTGCTTTACTATTGCGCCAAGTAAGTAAACCGATTGCTAATTTTGTTAAAGAACGAGCGAAACAATCTCCGGTATTTCGGTCGTATGTATGCATGCCACCGGCTCAATTTTACAATTGGTGCGAGGTTAAAATGAAGATGTATTTCATGAATCTTGGTACCGCAGGAAAAGTCAAACCTTTAAGTGAAACTATGGCCATCGAACTTGGATCAAATTTACTAGGTGAAGGTATTATATTTGTTGTTGCTGCGGCATTACTATTGTTGGAATATAATAGGCAAGTACGTAAAGAACAAGCCAAAGAAGAAGTACGTTTACAAGAACAGGAAGATTTAACCAATGCCTTAAGGGATTTGGATTTAATGACCAACCAACATACTGCTGAATTAAGACGTCTAACATACCTGGTCGATGATTTAATATCTAAAGTTCACAGTAAATCATACCCTGGACCTGATATCTCGGAGACAAGTAGTAGCAAAGTCGATACCAAACGACAGGAACCCGAACTGAAGAAACAAATTTCTAATGATATTAACGAAAATTTATTATTTAAAAGCATTAAAATGTTAATCCAATCATTACAAGCTTGACTAAATTAGGTTTTGTTTCTATATCTAAATATGTTTTATTATTTACATTTTGTTAACACTTATAATTAAAGGGAATAATAAAGTTACTATTATATTAGCAACTATGTAAAAGTTAATTTTGGCCTAGTACTGTAAACTTTTAAATTAAATTAAATTATTATGGATGACAATGTTTTAATATGTAGTATATTTATTTTTAAAATGCTGTTTTAGATCTAAATAATAATAAGAGCTTGTACATATTTTCAAAATATTGTTGACCTGTCTGATTATAAAAATATTTTAACTGAAATACTAAAAAGAAATTTTTAGTTAAAATGGATAAATTAATAATTTTATTACAGGTAACAGGTTTCTAGTTCCATCAATTGTTGATTACCATTTGTTTCTGTAGATTTAAAAATAAAGTTTTCATGCAGTGTTATAGATACAAATTAATTAAATTGAATACATTGTTTTATTCATAATTTAATATTTTTATCAAACAATGATACAAATTATAATTTATTAGAGGTAGATAGTAAATATAATTGTTTGATTACAGTTAGGAGGTATAACTTATAAATAATACTCTATTAGAATATAAATTTCAAGCAGAATTAAAATGTTGAGTACTCATATTCTAAATCTTACCACAGTCCACAACCTAAACATCCTCAAGAGTTTAATTTTCATTTTGTATAAAACCAAATAATTGACCTTACATAATATCAAAAATATAATTGAATATTATCCACATCAAAAATTCTACAAACTTAAAATAATGGTTACATAACTATTTAGTTTTTAACCTTAATCGGATCAATAGTATTTCATACATTTTAATCATAGAAAATCCTATCATTAAACCTGGAGTGATATTTGAAAGATAAGATGTGTAAAAATATTGTATTTAAATACCGACAATTTATACCTTAAATATATATATATATATAAAAAAAAAGACAAATTATAATTAATTAAGTATATGAGTATAATTAAGATGATAAAAAATAAAAAATATAAGAAATATTATTTACAATGTCGCAAATTTATACAGCCCATTTAAGACATCGTGTGGCTTGGTGTGTACCTAAACACGAAATACAACAATATCGTGCACCACATGTCGTACATGTGTATGAACTCCTGAATCCACAGACTGCACAAAATATTCTGCGTGGAAAGTTTGATGAGGGTGCTTCTATTGTATTATAGTTGGGCGGGTCACGGTTGTTAAATTGATCAGCTTCGATTAATTGTTCAAATGTCCTTCGAAATCTAATTGAAAATTAAATAAAGTTTGTTAAATCACATGATTCATAATACAATTAATACATAGAATAGAATATTTATATCATTACTTTTGTTTGTAATATTCAGCACTCTTTTCCTTTTTACGTCTCCCTCCTTTAGCCTCAATAGTGTCTAAAAATTTAGGAGCTTTTTTATTCAAAACAATGTCAGCATGTGGATCTTGTTGATAGTTGTCCATTTCTAAACTCTCAAGAGCCCGACGTGCCCTACGATTTCTGGTTGCTGTATCAAGGACCTTTTTTTTATCTGCATCTTTTAACCTTCCCGATTCCCTACCCATTCCTACTTTCGAAGACATTTTTAACTATAAGATAAAATAATTAAGAATCAAAATGGTTTTAATTTTGAGTGAAAGTAAGTTGGTCCATTAATTCATCAACACGATCTTCTAATGTGTCCAAAACATCAGTTGACACAAATAAATGTTCTTCATCCAATTCTTGTAGAATGAATTTTTTTCCAAGAGCGTTAGTTTGATCCAATTGTAATAAAAACTGTTTCATTGACTGATCACTTTAAACAAAGAAGGTTAAGTTAATAATAAGTACCTATATTATGCCATTGTGTTCTAGAATTCCAACAAAAATGTCCAAAAGAAAACAAGTCAGTGCAGAGGAAAAACGTACCAGGATGTTGGATTTATTTCATGAAAAAAAAGATTTTTACCAGCTCAAAGTAATAACATACATTTTAATATGAACCAAAAAGTTTTATTGTTTATGTGATTAATATTGTCCTATGTATAATAACGGTAACAAACATTTATTTTAAGTTATGGGTACCTATTTTATTTCATTATTATTTTTGTACTTAAATACATATGTTTAATCATTTAGGAATTAGAAAAAATTGCACCAAAAGAAAAACAAATTATAGTGCAATCAGTAAAAGATGTCATTCAAAACTTAGTAGATGACGGATTAGTTGATACTGATAAAATAGGAACATCGGTGTATTTTTGGTCTTTTCCAAGGTAACTACTTCTATTGACTATTATTCTAGTAAGATAGTTTTTTCTAGGTAAGGACCTGCATATTAAATATTTTAAACAATTTCAAATTTTAGCAAAGCAAAAATTGCTAAGAAAAATGTATTAGATAATGCTAAAACAAAATTGGACGAGTATCAAAAAAAGCTTGACAAGAACTTAGAAATTATCAAAAAAGAAAAATTAGGAAAAGAGATAACAGATGAAAGACAAGCACTCTTAAACAAACTCAAGGCACTCAATGAAGAAAAATCAAGTTTAGAAAGCGAACTAAAGAAATATGAAGATTCAAATCCAGTCGAGTATGAGCGTATGAAGAAAAGCATAGAAGTACATAAATGGCCAATGGCAGATTTCCGTTATATGGCATAACATTGGATAATTGAGGATATTTATTTGATTTTGTACTCAAACGTTATAACTTATTTTTTAGGTGGCCAAGGAAGCGGGAAACCGTTGGACGGATAATGTTTTTTCAGTGAAGTCGTGGTGCAAGAAGAAGTTTTTCTTGGAAGACAGCGTCATTGACAAACAGTTTGGAATTCCAGGAGACTTGGACTATATAGAATGAAAGATAATATGCACAACAGACCATGTATCTTACTTTGCATACTACATTACTACTTACCATGTAATTAATGTTCCCTTGGAGACGTGAACCATGTTTTTCCAATTTTTCGAATAATTATAAACCGTAAAATGCCTATTAATTTGTTTATCTTTCCTAACCAATAAATCCCAACTTTCTATAAAATACTTTGGCTCTATATGGACAGACAGATAGTACCTAAATATTGTAGTCTAGAACCCTAGTCTATACCGAATAATAAAGTTAAGTCAAGTAGTCAACTTACTACTGAGTACTGACTAGTTAAGATTAACATTTAACAATTAACATTTAACAGTCAATACTCAATTGCGCGTATCACCGGGTTCGGGGACGAACCATAGATTACATAATATTATTTGCGCGTTCATTCCATGCCCGTAATCATGAGAAAATGTTTTGCCCATGATGAACATATATTCATGCCCGTAATGGCGTAATGTCACGGTCATGAAGATTAGAGATAAGGACAGCGTTGCCAATGTTTGTTATCTAGTCAGCGGGGAAAATATGACAAAATTACCGTACTTTGAACAATATTACCGTACTTATTGATTTTTTAGGTTATCAGCATGGTTATCAGTTATAATTTCTTATCCGAATTCTTATCAAATTCTTATCAAATTCTTATCAAATATTTATAAAACCATTAAAACCTATTAAAAATTAATAACAAATAACAATTAACAATCTTCAGGTAAAAACTTATAATGGGTTCAGGGTTATGGACAGTGCCGGCGCTAGGAGAGGACAAATGGGACATTTGTCCAGGGCCCCGCGCTTGTTAAAGGGCCCCGTGATTTTTAATTATCATCTTAATACGAATACCGTGGTTTACCGTCGGATATTGCATTATTCTGCCTGCAGCGGTCGCGTACTTAGATATTAAACAATTTATTATTTTATTCAAACATTTTGATGAATTAATTTATTTTTAATTGATGATTTTATGTAGTTGTTAAAATAAATGTAAATTAATAAAATAACCAGCCCTTATGAATTACAGACAACATGATAAAAAATTCAAAAACAAAAATTACATGATATTTAAAATCAAAAATTATAGTTAATTATTATGATAGTTTCACCCAAGGTTTGGGGTTATTAGATAAACTCTGTTTTCTTTTATGGGGAATTCTATGGAATTCTATGGGAATTCTAACTAGGGAGAAACTGAGCACCATCTTAGTCCAGCTCACATAATATCACGATCAAAAGTCTGGGTCAGGTTCGAAGTTCAATATTATATAATATATAGAATTGATACAAAAATAAAATCAAATACAAAATATTATCATAAGGAGACCAAACTCCGTATACAAAATATGGCCCGACAAAAGTCGCACGGTTATTCTGCCACCAGGAGTGCGTCGTTCGATAGCAGTGCTACGTTTTACCATGGCTAAATAACATGGTATGACAGCAACTACTTACTGCGCATGACGACTACGTCATCCGGTCTCGGTAAAAGGCGCGAAATCAAATATTGTATTATGATAACAGATAAATTAAATTTATCACTTATGATGAAAAAATAGTTAAAATAATAGTGTTTGTAAAATTAATTAATTAATAATTAATAGTTAATTTGTATACTAAATAGATAAATTATTACAGCAAAATAATAAAATATTATTATTACTATGTGAATTATACTATTCATGTTGCAGCATGCTTTAGAACTACAAGAAAAGTATAAAATAGTGTTGTTATTTAATTTGTATATTTCAAAATAATAGGTATACAATGAAACAATGTACATATTACACATGTACTAAAACAATTAAATTCATAACAAAAATTTTCTTATTTTAGTTTTATTTCCAACTGTTGGAGCATTGTCGGCAATATTTTTATTAAGATGATTGAACCTTACAAAAGTTCTGGTTCGGATTAAACAGCTTACCACTTCTTCTGGTAATACATCATTACTTTCTAAAATAACTTTGGTTTTTAATGTTTCCATAACTTTAGGATTTTTATTGAGTGAGGTACCATGCATTTCCTCAAAGTACTTATTCATTACTTTTGCAACTCTCATTAATGTATCCGATGGTGTAATTAAGTGGCCTCTTGTTATATGCTGAGTCCAGCTAGTTGATAATGAACTATCCAATGACACTGACGTTTCATTGCCTAAATCAGGATATTTATGTACAAATCTCCTGGCTACATAACCCACTACATATTCTAACGCTTCATGCTCCACAGTTCTACTTGATGCACTCTGGATAATAAGGATAATATAAAGCGTAAGGTATATGCATTTATGATTATTTTAGTATGTATAGTACAAAGTTTTTTTTTAAGGCACCTCTGTTTTAAAAAGTTCTGAAAAATCTTTGTCTTCCTCTAATACTAAAAAATGATTATCTGCTGCAGAGTAAGATAGTTCTTCGGTGGACATGTGATCGTTGTCTAAAGGCGTTTCAAGAATTTCAGACTCTTTGACAATTGATGCTGATAAACATTCAGTATCGATTAACCGTTCACCTATTGTATCTTCAGTATTCCTGTTCTGTGACAGTGCAATAGAGGCATGTTTACCAAGCAAGTACCATTTTAGACTGTAAAAATAGAAGGTCCATGTTAAATTATAAATTTATTTATATTTTATTTATCAAGTTTTTTAATCATACCAATGTTTAAAATCAAGAGGTGATAAGTGTGTATTTGCACCAGACATAGCTTTTAAATAGCTGTAAAGGTTTTCAAGAATATCTTGATTCAAACGTCTTGTTACTATATAACTTATATCAGGATATTTTAATTTCAAATCAATCAAAAGATTTCTCAATGACTGGTTACTGTATAAAATTCCTTAAATGTGTAAAATTTTAGAAATTTAATAACAATTTACAACAAAACTATTATAGTTAAGTACATGATTTTTCACCTTTTTGAAATGGTAACAATGTTTTATGTCCAACAACTCTCATCTCTAAGATAAAATTATCCATTGTTTTTAATAATTTGTCTTGATTTTCAAGATCCATTCCATAACTTTTTATAAATTTATCTACTGGTAACTGTGTGTTAAACAGGTCAAACCAGTCATTAAATAGCTGTATTATCCAGGAAGCCTATATGTATAACAATAATAATGATTCATCCAACAAATATAAATAATTAAACATATAATTTAAACATTATAGTATAACCTCTTGCCAGTTATTGTAGTCAAGATTGAAATTTTGACCACAATAGGAAATCGCTTTGGCTAATGAATTTGAAAACAATTGTGCCGCTAAACTAACACTCTGCTTTTTAGGTCCTGGTATATTTATATGATTGTTTGTAATTTTATAAGCAAGTCTCAAATCATTTTTATTTAAATTTAATACTTTTTCAACAACTTGCTTTCCAATAAACTTATTCTTGTAATTGTATCCACTTAAAAATATAATTTACCATTCTATTACTTAAGGCTTAGGGCACATGATTATATAACATCACATTATTGTTTGATTTACCTATTTACAAAATGATTTCTTGCCAATTTTAGCAAATGTGGAACATCTGCGAATATATATATTTTATTCTTTGTTTCAGGATGATCAAAATAAGTTTTATTGATTGAGATCCCCAGTGAATTCCATAAACTCACATTTGTTGGACCCATATCACTTACGGTTGAGACAACATTGTAACCACTCTGGTGTAATGCGGTAATAATATTAAATAAAATATCCTTTGTCATTCTAGTGTCATACATATAAAATATTGGTTGTCTCCATGATGCTATTAAACCTTTTCAACAAAATGTCACATTTATTTTAAAATATAAAATTATATAATTAAATGAAATTACCTCTTGCTACTACTGTTTGTACACACTTATGAGGACCAATGAATTGTTCTTTTTTTTTATCATAGCATATTTTCTGTGATAAATATGTTTCATCAAATGCTAGTACAGTTATTTTTTCTAAATCTGTCATTGAGGAACCTATAATTATAAATATTGTGATGATATTTTTTTTTAGAATTAAAACCCTTGTTTTATGTACTCTTATGTTTCATTATGGATAAGACTGAAGATAAAATCCCCTGGTCCATAGGGAATTTTGTCGCCCATCCTCTTAGTGTTGAAAGTCCTTAATTAATAAACAGTCATTTTTACTTATAATCATTTCGAAAAAATCAATAATTAGCTTAATACTTAAAAAATACCTGGCAGTGGATATTTTTTTTCTTCTCTGAGATATCTATAGGCCTTAGGTGACAAGCTTCTAAGTGTTATAGCATTGGCTATATCATTTTCTGTCCACTTATATACTTTTTTGTTGGGATATAAAAGTAATTTTATTTGCGTTTCAGTAAACATTCCTGACAACACTTTATTAAATTCAATTTCATTTTTTTCTTTTAATTTATTATTTGGTATGGAATTAATAATCTCTTTCTGTAATTTAATGGTATTTTGTAATTCTAAATTTAGTTCTTTTTCTTTTTTTAATTTTAAATGTAGATCCAATAAATGTTGTTTAAGGCTGTTTAAATAAAACATACAAATAAATAGAATTGAATTATACATTAATAATTATTTGTATTTTTTCATACTTCTCAACTTCATTCAAATCATTACCACACTGTGTACTAACATCAGCTCTTTCCACTGGAAGTCCAGAATACACCATACCTATTTCACACTGAATACCAACATCTTGTGTTTCACTTAATAATTGTACTCCAAAATCAGGTAGATCATTCAAACAATTATTATTATTATTTGAAGTAAATGGATCATTTTTTTCTTTAGGTAATTTAGAACTTTGAAAACTAGCTTGGAATAAACCATCATGTGTAGAGTGTGGTGTATGTGTATTTACAGGCTTACATTTAATTGTTGGTTTTTGAATTCTGGGCTGCAATAAAATGATTTAGAAAAGATTTAATTGTTTTTTTTTTATACTGAAAAATAATAACCAACCAAATTTTTTGATGGTACAGCATTGGGTTTA